CCTTCCAGGCAGCCCCTCCTGCCAGAGGATGGTCTGATAACACCCTACTCCATATGTCTCTCTGGCCCTGGGGCCATAGCAGCTTCCAGCAGGTACTAACCTCTGGGTTGCCTCATTGCTCCCTGTCTGGCTTCTCAGCCTCACCATCAACCTTTTAACCAACTGTCTGTATTAAATCCCATTTGTATGAAGGATCTAGAGGGTTATTTTTTCTGGCTGGGTCCTGATGGACACAGGCACATAGCATTCTTAGTTACCAGCTACAGAAACCAACCCTGACATTTTGGCAGGGAAGGAACTTATTACAAAAGATACCGGAGAGCTCAGAGAATCCCTGAGAGGAGCAAAGAACCAGGCTTGGAGACTACGAAGGAAGGAGCAGTGTCCAAAACTCTCAAAGCAGAAGTGTTTGGTGACGACACCATTACTGCCACTCTTGAAGTCTTGGTTGCACCATATGTCCCCAACACTGGATTCTGGAATCTACCATTCAAATTGTTGTCTCTGCCACCATCTGTCAGCAGAATTAATTCTGGGCATTTTCTACTCTTCATGACGTCAGCTTCCAATTGAGAGACTGGGGGCAGTTACATCTGATTGGCAAAGTAGAGGTCACGTGCCTAACCCTGGCTGTAAGGACAGCTGGGAATGAACGTGTCTCTGACATTTTCAGTTCCCGTCATGGGAATGGGCTGTTGTTACGTTGCAACATTCCCTAAGTACAGGACAGTGGTTTAGGTGCTGAGTGGACATTTTCATTTGAGCAGACGCTGAGACAAGGACTTGAGCGTAAGTGGTTTGTCTGGGAGGAGGGGTAATCCCAGGAATCATTGGTAAGGAAGCAGGAAAAGTAAGAAAAGAAGGAAAATCAGCCAATGGAAAGTAAATTATTGACCAAGGTTTCACTATGCGTGACTACTGGGGAGACTCTGGGAGCTGGAGTAGGATACATACCTAAGAGCTGCCCCACCCAAGGGGCCAAGGAGCTGGGGTATTTATCCACCACTCATCATCCAGCACTGTGGAAAGCACCTAGGGGACAGGCTTACAGCTTAATTCCCCTGCACTGCCAGCCTCCCTCCCTCTTGTGTGAGCTGACTGGCCTTTAGCAGCCAGAGGAAACTTTCAGGCGAGTAAATATAGGTGCTGGCCGGTGAAAGTTGGGTGGGTGTGAGCTGAAAAAGTAAGGGAAAGCAGATGAGGCAGGATGCAAGCCACATCTGGACAGGAGCTAACATGACTGATAAAGGTCCACAAGCTGCTGAGCTTGGAAGATTCAACAGTGAGCAAGAGAGACGCGCTGGCCTCACTAGGCTGGGGTCTTGAGATTTAGGTGCATGAACAGGCAAATACAGTGGAACAAGAGCAATAACAGAGGCAGCACAGGCTGCTAGAGCCAGACTTCTGGCCTCTACTACCCAAGAGGATGAGACAGCATCCTATGCATTTCTGAGTCCCATTGACTGGGGTGGTACTTATTCAACACGTTTTCTGGCCCTACACTGAACTGTCAGGCACAGCCCTGATGTATTACATGTATTGTCTGTTTCTTACTATAACCCAACAAGGTAGTTGTGTCCCCATTTTACAGGGGAGGAAGTTAAGGCACTCCTAATTGCTCCTAACTGCCTTAATACTCATCCTTCTTCCTATCTCAGTTTTGACGTAACCTCATGGAAAGGATTGCCTGTACCGTGTGTCCCCATCTGCAAGCTGGGGTTTTCTCTAGAACTTATCCTCTGTTTAGTAATTGGCAACTCGTGCTCATGTATCCTCAGGAGCTGAGCTCTGTGAGAGCAGGAACCGTGTCTGTGTGGCTTAGCACTGTATGCTCAGCCTCCAGGACGGTGCTGCCCTGTTCTAGATGCACAAACCTCATTTGCACCAATCACTTTTTGAATGACTTGAACAAATGAATGAGGCTCAGAGATGTTAAGGTCAAAAGGCCAGTCACAAAGGTAGGAAGTAGTAGAACTGAGGTTTGAACTGCAGTTCGTCTGACCCGCCAATATCTCCTATACTTTGCTGAGAGTTAAGCTACTTATTCATCTAAAGCAACCCAGAAAATTTAAGTTGGATTAAATGCAGCTATTTTAAGGTCAAAAGGAATGGGCAGGAAGTCTAAGAACTTCTCATAATCATCAGGCTGAGGAATTACCATATAGAACTCTAGATCTAAAGCTAGAAGAAGATTCTTAGAGGACAAGACCCCATACTCAAACTTTGGCTGGGATGGACAGCATTAAAAATTCTCCCTTAATTTAATATTCTAAGATCCTAAGGTTTTTGACCTAATCTCTAGGCAAAAGGAAAATTGTTCCCCCCTAGCACCAATACCTAACTGACCTCATCAGCTTACTAAAATAATATAAAAATATTGGAGATCAAGTGATTTTAAGGCACCTGATAAGGCTTTTCATACTCCTTTAGATACTGCGGAAAAGTCTTCTCAAAACTCCCAGTTGTCAGATGTACTCAGAGTCACGTTCAAAATAAAGGGGACAAGGAAGACGATGGCTTGGAAATTGTTAAAGAAATTCTTTCTCTGCCTTATTAATCCAGACAATATACTCACTCCTTCATTTTTGAAAAGTCAATGAGCACCATCCATCCTCTATGCATGCACTTCCCACATTTCTTCAATTCTAAAATGGCCAAGAAGCAGAATAGATTTACTAACAGCCTTTGGGTACTGGGACTGAGCATGGGGTGGTGGGGAGATAGGAGGTAAAACAGACAGGAAACACTCCATGAAGTGTTCACAGAAATCACAGTGTACACATTCTGATTTCAGAATGCTAACATGTGGCCCCCTAAGAAAGCCTTAGAATTAAAAAAAAATGCTAATTAAAAATCAAATCTTCAAATGGTATTCAGGAAGAGCCTATATATTTTGTCCCAATGATTATTTCTACACATGACTAAAAATTGGTAGAAATGACAAAAGGTTTCACATAAATCATATTTTTGAGTATGTGAAAATATATTTTTAAATTTCCTTAAAGCACTTACATAGATTTATTTCAGAAACTAATAAATTGAAAAATCACTAGACCAATTAATATACACACATTTAACAAGGTGGGTGCCTTGATAATCAGTGTGAGCTTTCTCGGCAAAAACTAAAGTGGGATCTAATTTCTATTTTAGCTCTTTTTCTTCTGGAGAAAAATATGTCTGTGCCCCATCCGTGTTCAAAAAGAAATCCATAAATGCAGCAAATCAGATTAACAGCTAACCAGTCATCCTTTTGACTTGATCACTGATTCAGAAACTCAAAATTGGACCCTGGGTTGTATTTCATCTGGTTTTTGCCACTTCACTACTTTCCAGCAGAGCCCTGCCTCGGAGCTCACCATCAGGATTAAAAGAACAGCCGATGGCAAAACAACCCTTTTGTTAAAGAATCAGCGTTTCATGAATCCCTCGAGGATCTCAATATATAATTCAAGATATCACAATGAGAAATGAAGAGAAGGACAAAGATATTGGATATCAAGATAAGGGAAGGTGTGTGAGAAAACTCTTAAGATCCAGAATACATACAAAAAAATTTTCATCATGTAGATTAGGGATAGAAAATACTTTGACACTGATACCCTGTTGTTCAGTCTTGTACCACAGCTAAGCCCTGATCAGCCCCAGACAGGTGCATCCTCAGAATCTATCTCGACACATTTCTTCAAAAAGCCACTCTAGATGATTGGCCATGCAACCAAGATAGAATTCTTGCTCCCATCACTGAAGATTGACTATTTCAAGCCACGGATGTCTTCCGCATACACTGTACCCTGGCTACCCTGAGCTACCCACCTGGCTCTGAATGTACTATGCAACTTCAAGCACCTGTGCCTTTGTTTATTCTGTTTCCTCTACCTAGAAATGTCTTTTATCTACTCCCCAACCCGTGGAAATCTTACTTTCTGTGACCCCATACAACAATTTCTACTTTTGTGAAGTCTGCCTCATTCATTTCCTCTAACCATCATGAATTGTTTGGAGTTGCTCATTTACTCCATGAGTTCCAATGACAGGGACTTGGATGATCTACAAGAAAAACTCTGACCTAATAACGATAATCATCATCATCATTATTCATACCATATTTATGTATAAAATATACTTCAGTCAAAATACAAAACTAAAGAGGGAAATGATGAGATTTATGTTTTTTTAAAAAATAAAGCTGAGCTTCTACTATAAAGTGAGTCAATGGCCGGGTGTGGTGGCTCACACCTGTAATCCTAGCACTCTGGAAGGCCGAGGCGGGAGGATTGCTCAAGGTCAGGAGTTCGAAACCAACCTGAGCAAGAGCGAGACCCCGTCTCTACTATAAATAGAAAGAAATTAATTGGCCAACTAATATATATAGAAAAAATTAGCCAGGCATGGTGGCGCATGCCTGTAGTTCCAGCTACTTGGAGGCTGAGGCAGGAGGATTGCTTGAGCCCAAGAGTTTGAGGTTGCGGTGGGCTAGGCTGACGCCATGGCTCTCTAGCCCAGGCAACAGAGCAAGACTATGTCTCAAAAAAAAAAAAAAGACAATGTGAAAGTCTGGGGTTTTTTATTTGTTTGTTTTTTGTTTTGTTTTACATGTCAATTATCAAAAGATGCTAAGCTTTTAAGACTTCTGTTACGTGATGACCTTAACTTCTTAAGTGAAGAAAGAACTTGGATGTATTGTAAAAATCAATATTTACAATAACAGTGTTTTTAAAAATTAGAATCTTGACTGGGCACAGTGGCTCATGCTTGTGATCCCAGCACTTCAGGGGGCCAAGGTGGGAGGATCACTTGAGTGAGCCCAGAAGTTCAAGACCAGCCACCAGCCTAGGCAACATAGCAACACCCTGTCCCTAAAAAAAAATTTTTTTTAATTAGCCAGGTATGGTGGTGCATACCTGTAGTTCCAGTTACTTGGGAGGCTAAGGCAGGAGGATTTCTTGAGCCCAGGAATTCAAGTTTACAGCAAGCTATGATCAGGCCATGGTACTCCAGCCTGGGTGACAGAGCAAGACTCTGTCTCTAAAAAAGTAAAGAAATAAAAATTTAAAAAATAGAATCTTTGCAAATGCAATTTACAGCTTGTTTGGGGCTAACAATTCACATCATAAAAGAAAAGGAAATTCTAATCTAGTGGACTCAATTAATTGGATTTTTCTGACAATCCTTTAAGCACTACTCTATGGGTAATCGATAAATACAGGGTGATTAGTCTCCTGTTAATAGCGGTCTATGCACACATGCCCCAGTTGAAACCAAGGGCATTGGGGATAGAGATGAATGAATTGACTCAAACTCTAATAAATAAATAATATGAGAAATGCATCCCACTCTCAAATAACACATAAGTTTCGCACAGCCTGGTATAACGTGTGGCTGGTAGATAAGAAGGATACTGATGTGCACTGAAGAGAACTACTTGAAATTTTATTGCAAACATTCATTTTCATGAATTTCCTTTCTGTGCTCTATCTCTTGTTGCATTTCAGGAGTCAGTTTAGAAACAAAAACAAATAATATAAACCCACTAGCTTCTTGGGTCAGACCAAGCTAAGGTGGATTTTCACCATCCCTAGAATGTGTCAATTTGTCTTTTAGGTCAAGATAAATCTGACTGTACACTGGAAAATTAATTTAAAACTCATACTTTTGCTAAGCATGGGAAAGACAACACTGCAATACTAAAAGTCTTTGGTTTCTCATGTCAAAATATAGCTCTCACATGCATGATTGTGGTTTTGGAATAGAGTTGCAATTCTCACGTCCAGCTGTGGCAACTGAGAGACTCTGGCTAATTTTCCATATGTGCACTGCAGATTTGTGGCACAGGTGACATTGGAAAGGAGGGGACTTACTGTGGGAAGTCGTATTTTCCAAAAATGGCCACATTAATATTTCCGATCCCACATGCTCTTGTAGAATTTGTTACTCACCCTTCAAGAGGTAGAATCTATTTTTCTCTCCTTGAACGTAGGTGATGCATTGTGACTACCTTTTACTAAGAGAATATAGAGGAAGCGATATTGTGTGACTTCCAAGAATAAGTCATAAAAGTTGATACAACTTCCACCTGGCTCCCTCTTGGGACAGCTGCCTTTGGAACCCAGCCACATGTATGAGGTGAGTGTGAGGAAGACCAGCAGCCGTGGAAGGGCCACATGTAGATGTTCCAGCCACAGCTCCATGGGGTCCAGCCAGCATCAACCGCCAGACACGTGACTGCTCCTGCAGATGGTCACCCCACCTGATGTAACATAGGGCAGAGGCAAAATGTCCCCATCATGCCCCAGCCAAATTGCAAGTCTATGAGCAAAGTAAATGCTCTGGTTATTTTAAGCTACTGTTTTGGGTGGTTTGTTATGTAGCAACTGGAATACAGTGCCTTGATTCTGTCAACCATTGTAGTTGCTTTTAGCCAGGAAAACAATTTAACAACCATTTAGCAGTGATTCCCTCTGCAATGATTCATATATTACAGTATCTGACTCTCTCATAATAACTGCTTTGTATCCATTATACATTTGGTCACTGTTTGGCCATTGTCATGTGAAAAATATGCTTTTTAAACTTGGGCAAGGTGAATCCTTTTTTAAAAACTATAAAAGAAATACATGGTCATCAAAATTCAAATTTTACATATTTTTAGTGAAAAAAAACCTCTTGTTTGTTGTCTAACTCCCCCCTAATCTCACATATTTCAGAAGTAACTATATCAAAGCTGGTGTATCTTCTCCTTTCAGAACCTTCTCTACTTCCCTACACCTTTACACACATACACACATGCATACATACATACACACACACTCCCCCTGATGTCTACATACCTTAGACATCTTCCCCTAAAGATCATGAGTCCCTTTCCAATATGTTGTTAAAGCAAGCCTATTGATAATGAAAATTAGGGAACTGTGATCAAAACATGAAGATGATGATAATAATGATAAAAGTGCCATTTTCTGAGTTCTTACTATGTGCCAGGCACTATGTTAACCACTTTACATGTGTTATTTCATTTAATACACTGCCTATTAAAGTGCATACAAATATTTAAGGAAAAAATAACTCAAAATAAATTCAATACTCCCCAAATGTTGTTGAAGATGGCAAGACGCATTACTATCCCCTTATACAAATGAAAAAGACCCCCAGAAAAGACAGTTTAAATGGTCCAATAAGTGAGAAAAAGATGTCTGCTACCTAAACAGCAGGGTTAATGACAAAAGATTCCTCAAAATCCATCCATATGCAAATCACTCAAGAATGCAGAGTTTATGCCAAACCTTCATTCTGAGTTCTAGGCCCAACCAACTTGACACATCCGTTGAGATGTCTCGAAGATGCTTCAAACTCATCATGCCCAAGAATTATGATTCCTCTTTGCCTGTGTGCACACACAGATATACAAAATGGTGTTCTCATACTTTTTTCTCTGACACCACTCTCAGAGAAAGTGAGACACCACTGTTTGCACCAGTTGTTCAAACCCCAGACAGACCTGGTAATATATTGGGCACTAACCCTTATTAACTCACCTCAATTCATAGCCATAAATATCTCTGGACTCTCTCCACTTCTTTCCACTTTTACTGCCAACACCCTAGTTCAATTTACGAGCATCTCTTCCATGGACTAGGTAATAGACTCCTGATTGCCTCCCAGCATTCCATCCAGGTCAAGTCCAATCCATTCTCTGTGCTATAGCTAGAGTGATCTTTTCCAAAGGCATTCCATCCCAGGCTTAAAACTCTTCAACGGATAACCCCTGACTTTAAGATAAAGATCCACATTCTTATCATAGTTTATAAGCCAACCATGGTTCATCCTACCACTTCAAACTCACCACATGTTCTTCTTCCTCTCACTTTTTAGCCACAAAGCCTTCTCTTACTTTCTTCAAAAACAGCAAGTTCCCTCCCACCATAAAGCCCTTGCAATGAGCTATAACATCTGTCTGAAATGCTCTCCTCTTAATTTAGTAATCTCCTTTTGCACTTTTAGCTCTCAGCTTAAGTATCAGTTCCTTGGGAGTACTTCCAGTAATGCTGCAATCTAGCTTATAATTCCTTTATTATATTCTATCATGATGAGATATTCCCCTTCTTCACAGCCCTTATCATAGTTTGAAGTTATAATATTTTAAATGTATGTGTCCCCAACTTGACTATAAGCTCTTGGCCAGCAAGGACCAGTGGTGTGCCAAAGCCAGCTCACACTGGCTCACAGTTGCCGATTGTGCCCATACCTCCTCACACCGGATAACACTGATGGCTTGCAATTGGCTCTGGTGGGAGAATTTACACCACAGAAATTGGCAAATACTAAAAATCAGAGTTTTCATTTCTGGAAAGCCAGTTGTGAAACATTTAGCAGCAAGAAGCATGTTTGCCTTGCTTAGTAACACATCTCCAGCACCTAACACCATGCACAGTACCTGGAAGGCTTTCAATAAACATTTGTGAAATAAATAAATGTCCTAATCACAGGCTCAGACAGTATTCCAGCTGATGCACTCTTGCAATGAATGTGACCTACCAGTTTTATGAATGTGCATGCTTCCAAAATGCAGCTATTGTATCTTTGTTTATAGACATGCAATTCACTGGGAGGCACAGTTCTCCAATGGTCAACTGATCATGCTAACAATATATTTAAACCCTATAACCAAAAAAGTATCATTTTTCTCCCCCTCATTCCTTTTTAGAAAAAGGACAGCCATCTATGCTTTGTAGTCTACCGAGGAAGAAAATAATACCTGCAAGATGGCTGCCTCCAAAATTAACCACCTACCCAGATAAATAAGAGCAACTTAGGCTTAAAGGGGCCAGGCAGTGTTGGGATGATCAGGTGAGGGTCACAGGAAGTCCTGAAGAGCAAAACTGTGGATGTTATTTAATCATTATAATCTGCTCCAGGTTTCAGGTCACTGACAATAATCACAATTTATAGAATAATAGATGGCTACATGGCACTTCCCCAAATTCCATCTCTGCTTAAAATACAAATGGTTTTCAAAGCAGATTTATCTTTTCAATTAACTTTTTGTGGAGTCCAAGAAATTCTGTTGGGTCAGGCTGGACACAAGGAGATGAGGAATAGCAGTATTGGTATTGGCTGATTCTCCAATTATACTTTAAGGCTGGTCACTTCCAACACTGGACTAACAGATGGGTATTTGCTTAAATTCTTTTTTCTTTCTTTATTTCTTTTTTGAAATTGCAGAAAATGTTAGAAGTATCTGTTTGCATAAAAATATCCTTAGGATATTATAAATAATGATGTGGCCTTTGCAATAGTCATACATCACTGCTGGAAAGTAGATATTCTGTGATTCCTTGTTTCTGAGACACATCAATAATTTCTACCACCGAAAATGTAACCATCATTCTGATGGCATTTCCAAAATCAAAGGCTCTAGGAAAATGCAAAGAAGTCAAGAGAAGCCTTGTATTCCTCCTGTAGAAATCAAAGAGAATGAAATTAAGGAAAATTTCTGGCATTCCAAAGCTTTTTCAGGTCAGCAAAATTAATTAATTTATCAAGAAATTTTAAATAAAAGAGTAGAAAAATCAAAGCACAGCATATTGTAAAATCCCGAGGAGGAGTCAATATAAGAAAAACCTATTAGTATCCATTAAATTATAAATCAAAAGAGAAAAACAGCTTTCTCTTCCTACCCGCCTTCCCTTCCAAAACAATTCAGCTCAAAAGCCATTAGTTGAGTCTGAGAAGGAATCAGTGGGGAGGGGCATGTTGGGACTTGACTGGTGTGAGAAAGGCACACACAGGGGAGGGGCATTGGTGCATCGGTGGTAGATAAAGGTTGGTTTTATACAAGGATTTGATCATGTAAGTACCTATCTAAAGGATGGATAATGGAATTTGGATTTCTTACTCTCAGAGAAGGGAGTTACAAATGTGAGAAGGGAGAAAATTAGAATAAACCTATGGAGTTGTACCAACGTATCAATGTAAACTCATGGTTTTCTGCTTATGAAAGGATGGGTAGACAGAGAGATAGATAGATGGCTAGATACATAATATAGAAAATCACTTAGACATGTGTAAGATCGATGCATGTGTACACACTGACACATATTTCTATTCCTAGCTCAGTCCACTAGAAGGGGCCTAGAAGCAGTGACACTCAAAGAGTAGTGAGTATACCTTCTTAGAGAGTATACCAAATTGTGGTTTCTAAATATCATTCTCCACTAAAAGGACCAATGCTTCTTTAAAAAATGGCTAATTCTAGGGCTGGGTCAGGCAGTCTAGGGCTTCATCATGCTCTATAAGATGAAACTAGAGCATCTTCTTTTACCAGAAAATAAGGACGTGCTTAAAGGATGAAAGGGACATGCCACGAGGACACAGAAGACAGTATGAAGGAGTTCCCACTGGCCAAATCTGGGATAATTTGAAAGCTGAAATAGTTTTCAAATAATTTTAGTAATGGATAATTTTAGTAGTGGATCATAACTCAAATATGAAAGCATGAGTTTATACTGATATAAATAAATAAAAATATGTGTGAAAAATTGGACATTTATATAGTCTCAAAGTGGCTTTCCACAAAACAAAATTTCTTCTAATAAAAAAAGAATATATAGGTGAGAAACCTGACAGATAACACCTTAATCAAGTGATCTACTTGAACATCACCAGTAATGAGACAAACCAAAATCATGTACCACTTGATAAGATACAACTAGCACACAGTGCTATTGTGTGATATTTTTGGCCAAAGTGCATAACCTGAATCTAATAATTAGAAAACATTAGCAAACTAAAATTGAGGAACAATCTACAAAAGACCTGGCATGTAATTTTCAAAAGAGTCAGGTTAATAAAGTCAATAAAAGACTAGGCAATTGTTCCATATTAAAAGAGACTAAAGAAACATGAAAACTAAATGCAACATACAATTCATCTTTTTGAATAAAAGATTTACTGAGACATAATTCATATCTCATAAAATTTACCCTTTCAAATTATATAAAATTTCTTAGTATATTCAGAGAGATTTGTAAACATCCACACCATCCAATTTTAAAACATCTTCATCACTCCCGAAAGAAACCCTGTATCCAATAGCAGTCTCTCCTCATTCCCTCTCTAAACACCCCCAATCCCTAGGTAATGATCTGCTTCTAGTCTTTCTGGAACTTTAGAAAATCTATGAAATGCCTATTCTGGGCATTTCATTTAAGTAGAATCATATAATATGTGTAATATGTGGTCTTTTATGACTGGCTTCTTTCACTAACTATGATGCTTTCAAGGTTCATCTATGTTTTAGCATGTATCAATACATCTTTCCTTTTTATATCTGAGTAATATTCAATTGTATGGATATACCACATTTTGTTTATGTAGTCATCAACTGAGAGACATTTAGGTTATTTGTACTTTTGACCGTTATGAATAATGCTGCTATGAACATTTGCGTATAATTTTTGTATGGTCAGCATGTAACTCTGAGCTGGATACTACTGGGAAGTGACTGGGACAACTGGCAGGACTTGAATGGAATCTAAAGATGATGTGATAACGTATCTATCAGTGTTTATTTCTAGGTTCTGATGGTTGACTTTGGTAATGTAGGTGAATATTTCTTGTTTACAGAAAATATACACTAAAGTACTCAGGGTTGATGGGGCATGATGTCTGCAACATATCAGAAATGGTTCATGAAAAATAGTTTTCTTGTGCTATACTCAGAACTTTTCTCTAAGTTTAAAATTCTTGAGAGATACCACATTCACATAAACAAATGCTGAAAGATTTTTTTATAAAATCAACATCTGCTGCTTATTTTTTAAATTATGAAAATATCTGTATACATGGATATTTCCTTAACAAATATATGTTTGGTTTGATAAATATCTTAAACCAAAAACTGGTATCATGCTTAATAATTAAACAGGAACAAAACAAGGATGCCCATTAGCACTACTGTTATTTAGCATTGTTCTAGAATTTCTAGCTAATACAACAAGACAAGAAAGAGATGAGATTCAAATATTAACTTTAAAAGCTATTCAAATAAATATGAATGTTTAGCAAACTCACCAGTTAAACAATACATACACAAAAATACACATAAATGGGGTCTCCTGTTGTTACTCCTCTTTTACCTAATCTTGCATGTCCTACTAAATATCCTATAAATCAAAAATAATCTGATAGAAAACACAATCCAGAATACATTCCAGTAGTAATGAAATACAAAACTAAAAATCAAATAACAAACTAGGAAAATTATTTGGGATAAATATGCTTTGTACTTAAATATCTACTATAAGCCATTAAGAAAAATAAAAATGCCCTAATAAGTTAATTCCCCCAAAGAAGAAATTAAAATGGCAACAGACAAATTTTAAAAGTTCAATCTCACTAGTCATTAAAATGCAAAATAAAACAATGGAATTCCATTTATTTTTGTTCAAAGTATCAAAAACTTTTTTAAATGAACATGGATGCAAGTGTGCAGAAAAACTGGTACTCTTAAATTACTGTTGGTGGTAATGCACACTATTTATACAACTTTCCTATAGGACAATACAACAAAACATACTATAATATTATAATAAGCTTAAAAACCTTAAATACGCTACTTTTTAACTTAGTAATTTCACTTCCGGGAACTTATCCTTTAAAACAATATATATAAATTTATGTCATGGATGTATATTAACACATTAATTTGTGAGAAAAAACAAACAACCTAAATATCTAACAATGGAGGACTGATACAATAAATTACAAAACTTCAATATGATTAGATACTATGTAGCTAATAAAATGATGTTGTATGAAACGTGTTCACAAAGGATTTGTCCAAAGACATTGCAAAATGCAATTAATAATACATATGCATCCCTATGCATAGAAAAAAATGGTTTATATATATCAACCTATTAATGGTCATTTTGCTTATTCACATTTTCCAAATATTTATTTCATAATCAGAAAAGACAATACCACAGCTTCTTGTTTTTTTTTTTTTAAATCATCTCTACAAGTGCTAGATAAGTCAATAACAATGAGTGAGAAAAAACAGTTTTTTTCTTATCAACCAAGTCACTTCTGAGACTAAAGTCTGATGTGGCTGCCAAACAACCAAGATGATGGAGGATTCTCTGGCAGGAGTAGGGAATCCAAAGCTAGGTCAGTAACAGGCCCATTTTATTTTTTGATGTTTGGACAAAGCTTGGAACATTGTGCTCAGTTTGGAGAGGTACACTTAGGGGACACTGATTCCTGGGAGAGTCCAGCATGTTCTATGATTAACAGCTAAAGGAGATGAGGAGATTTAATGCACTGAAAAGAAGTATTAAGGGCAATATAAAAATGCTCTTCAAATTTCCAAATGGCTTTTCATAAGAAAGAAAGATTAGGCTCATGCTTAGTGGTTCCAAAAATAGAGCAAGGACCAATGCACAGAAATTGCCCAGATAGCATGTAGGGACAAAAATGAGACTCATTCCACAAAGGAGGAGGAGATGAGGCACAACAGAAGTCTTCCAGCAGAGGCTTCTAATGACTCATCAGGGCTGTTTTCATGTAGAATCCACCCTTCCTAAACGGTTGTCCAATATATATAGACCCTAAGACTTTGCAGATCAAAGTGTGGTCCATGACTAGAGGCACTGACATCACCTAGGAGCTTGATAAAAACACAGACTGTTGCCCCCACTCCCAGACCTAATGAATCAGAGTCTGCATTTCTCAAGATCTCCATGCAATTCATAGCACATTAAAAAGTGGAAAGCAGATGTGGAAGATGCCCTTGGACTCAGTAGCCTCTCTGTCCACTTGGGTTCTTGGGGTCTCCTGATGTTACTCCTCTTTCACCTAATCTTGCACGACCTACTAAATATCCACTTAATTATTAGTCATTAAAGGCAGAAGACCTGAGGGTGGTGTGTGATACAATGGGTATAATGAGCTTCTGAATTAATATAATTCCTTATAGTTAGAATTTGGGATAGGAAAGATTCCACTGAAAGATTCAGTGGAATCTTTCCTATCCCAAATGGACCTTACCTGAAGTCCATTGACAGGTAAATGAGTTTGAATGCAGCCACATATACACTCCTTGGGCTTGATGAATCAGATCATGTTCCTCTGTGATTCTCATTCATTGGTCCTGTCCTCTAGAGAGCAATTTTAGGCGGATCATCCACTCTTTAGGACTACCTGCAGAGGAGAAATGGCATTTTGCCTGCCAAGCAGCACATATGCATTCATCAGTTCCATACTCCAGGAGAGTTTATCCTTGTATAGACATAAACTTCCAACCTTCAACAGCTAATAGTCCAAAACTTCAAAGAAACCAAGAGTGGAATCACAACCAGACCTCATGCATGAGACAAAGACCGGAGTATTTAATGGCAACTGGACATTAAAGGATGGGAAAACCAGGCTTCACTTCCCTTGTAGCTTCATCTCCTGCCAGTCCCCAGCTCACCAATGCTTTTCATGCTGTGGAACAACCAAACACTTCCTGTCACAACCTCCACAACTTTTCTGTTACCTTCATGTGGGGTAATACCCTTTAGACTTGTCTCTGCCTGGACAACCTCTGCTCATCCTTTAACACTCAGCACAGGCTTCACCTGCTTGTCCAGGCATCCTTCCCTCAACACTGGTTGCATGACCTGTTTTAACCTCCATTGTATTGCAGGAGACCAGAGCCATCCAATAGAAATATAACAGAAGCCACAATAATTTAAATTTTCTAGCAGCCAGATTTTTTAAAAAATGAAAAAGAAACAGGTGAAATTAATTTTAAGTATGTATTTTATTTAACCTCACGTATCTAAAATATTCTCATTTCAACAGGCAATCAAGACCATGTTAAAAACTATTAATTAGATATTTTACATTCTTTTATAATGCCAACTCTTCAAAATCCACTGTGTGTTTTACACATAGAACCCATCTCAATCCAGACTAGCCACATTTCTCAGTGCTCAATAGCCACATGTGGATGGTGGTGACTATATTGGACAACACAGCCTTACAGTTAAATAATCAACTTATGGGTTTTCCTTCCCTACTACAAGGTATGCTGCTCAAGGGCAAGGTTAATGTTATATCTGCAGTATGATCAGCGTCTCCTCGGTGCCTGGCGGATATTAAGTCCTCACTAAATGCTTGCTGAACTGAACTGACCTGGAGGTATTTTGAGAGAAAGGTGAAATTTTAGCCAGTGCTCAAATGAAGAGCAGTTTATGCATACTTACAGTAACTATGGTGATAAAAATAATAACTAATATTAGCATTTTTTTTTCTTAAACCATTTTCTATGCTCATAATGACTCTATATGCATACCATTACTACCTCCATTTTATGGATAAAGACACTTTCCCCAAATCATATAGCTACTAAGTGTAAGAGGCAGGACTTATTGAAATTGCAAAAACAAAGTAAATAGCATTAATTACATACACATATTCACCTCCTACACAAAAAGTTGAAAATAAACCATATTCACAGATATTAAAAGCTTCCTCCAATAGGTAAGCCTTCGCCTGGATCTCATTCACCAACCCTTGTGGCATCTTGTACAGAGATTGGTCCTCTGCTGGGCTCTCCCTTATGCAGAGCATATCTGTTTACAAATTTCTGAGCCAGCCATTCCTGGCTTCATATTTGACATCTTTCATACTCACCTTCTATGCCCTTCGATTCTGCCTGTCTTGTCAAAATGGCAGCGCGGTTCAGAAGCCACTCCAGTGAATAGTCACTTTTCTCAGTGCCTCATCCTTTCCCAGAATATTGAGAAAGAGCAGTGCATAAACTGCTTCCCACCCCTGCCAGCCCTGGAGGATACCCACCCCCGGCCATCTTGCTCACAGGGCCTGTGAGGGAGGAAAGCAATAATTGTTGGCTCGTGCTTTTGTTTAATGGAACTGGGCTGAATGTGCCTCAAAAAAAAAAATGATGTGGATTTTAATTTTTTTTTTTTTTTTGGTGTACAAAAATTCCATTATCTCTAAACCACAGGAACCAGAACCACATCTGGCAAGGGAAATAAAGCTGGAGATGTAAGGAAAGAATAGATTAGGAGAAGCCTGGAAAACAGGCGGCTGAGTTTAGATTTGATGTGGTGGGAAATAAAGATCCCTTGAGGGTTTCTGAGCATGGGAGTGATGTGATGAAAACAGTGATTAAAGAAGATGAAATACAAGCAGGACAAATTGAAGGGAGAGGCTAGAATCTGAGAGGAAGCAATAATCCGGGCCCCAGGGAGGGGGCGAGAGCAAGGGTATTTATTAGCAAAGAGGTCCAGGATCCTGTACAACTTAATTAACATATGCACACCCTTAATTCGCTTTACTACCAAGTTACTACCCAGGTTTTTGGTGGTTTCCTTTTTTTTTTTTTTTTTTTTTAATTTGTGCTTTTACTATATTTGAGAAGGCAAAAATAAAACCATGAGGAGCCAGATATTTTCATTAAAATGATAATGAAATTTCATCTCTGTGAATATAAAGGTTTAACTGAGTTCCCTGCTGAGCAAATGAGCTTTATCGTAAGCATGTGGAACAGTTTGTTGGGCAGAAATGGATTTTAGAAAAATTTATATTGGGCCTTTATTCACAGAATAAACTAACACAATGAACACAAAATAATTCTTAAAGCAGCTTCTTGCAGATGAAGGTCATGTGACAGAATAGAAATGGCTGCCCTCAAAGGACAGCTCCAGCCCTGGAGTGCCCCTAACTCATCACCCTACAGGGATTCTAAATGTATTCTAAATACATCCCATCCAAGGCAAGTTCTAAAACGGCAGGAGGTGCAGGCCGACTCTTGAATTAACTGACACCATTTGCCTGGCCCCAATTCAGGAAATCCCATACCATAAACCATCATGTTCTTTAATTCTGGCTGCAATTTTAAATGGTCCAGAGACTTAAAAATGATTTTCATTCAAGTTCAGATCTGGAAAGAGCCTTGGAGAACATTTCGAAATCCATAGTTTAAGAATATTTTTCAGTTGCACAAGACTTTTGCCAGTTAAATCTGATGAAATACAATGGATCAATATTAACATGGGGCTCCTTGGAGTGAACCAGAGTAAAAGGCCCAGAACTCCACCTACTCATTCTCTCCTGGTCCCAGTCCCCACTGCCACCCCCCAACTTACACATACTGGGGCAGACCCTGACACACTCCCTGGGACCGTGGGCCTGCAGAGAAAAGAGTTTGCAAGTACTGAAGAGTCTACTAGTATGTGTGTGCCTTCTTGTGACAGATGAAAATACTGAAGTTCAGAAAGCTTAACACAGGACTTGCATTTGCAGCCATATAACCTGGTTACTAAATAACTTGGAGACCCCCCATCTAGAAATACGTAGTAGAATACTAGCTAAATACAATTATCCACTTAACTGCACAAAATGAACTCACAAAGTCACCAGTTTGAAAACGGGCACAGCTAATAACCCCATAAGTCCATGTCCAGGTATGTGTCCCATAACAGTGCTTTTCAAATCAGCAGTGAAGATGCGTCATTGGGTAGTGGAATCACTTTCATAAATTGCAATCATCATACACACACACACATACACACACACATAAGTATGTGAAATAAACTAGACTAAACTGGATTAGAATTAAATAGAAAATAAAGTTAAGTATTATTTTGAGAGACTTTTGTTCCATGTATTAGCAGGGCCTTCCACCAAAACCCGCCTGTTTCACTTCTCTTGCTCCTAAATTGAGCAGCTACTAATACTCACAGCTGATGGGGTGATTTTGGGTCATACTTTTGATTGGCTGACTACCATGTAAATGAAGTAACTTTTGGGACATGCTTCTGATTGGCTGACTACTATGTAAATGAAGTGACTTGTGAAAACTTGCCATTGGCTAACTGTAACCCCCCAAAAGGTATAAAACTAAAAGAAAATGGAAAAGGGGTGCTCAGAGTTTGGTGGCAGATAGGCCTCTCTGAGCCCACCGGCGAAATAAAGCTGACTGTCCAACTCTCCGTGTGCCGCTCGGGTTTTTCTTCGGCCAAGAGCTGTTCACACCTGCTGGAACAGTATATGTGCACACATACACATAAATACAGCACATATATGTGCTGGGTTTCCATGCAAAGTGTTTCTTTGTGCATACAGACAAAACATTTTGAAAAAATACTATCTCAGAGAAGCTTTTGTATGTTAGGACAAGGACACGTACAGAAACACTCACTGAAGCACTGTTTATAATAGTGCAAAATTAGAAGCAATTTAAGCACTCGTAAACAGGAGAAAGAATAAATATATAGTGGTCTGCTCATGAAACATTATACCACAGAGCAGTTCAAGGGAATGAACTAGAGCTAACTTGCTGAAATCTATTGCTGAATTAAAAAAAAAAGCAAGTTGCAGAATGATATGTACACTGTTTTTCCATTTATTTAAAGTTTTAAAAGATGCAAAACAACAGTACATATTGCTGAAATATGCACATGTCCTCAGAGAAAGTCTAAAAGCATGCAAATGCAAGACAGTGCTTATCTCTGGGGCAGGGAAAGGGGAAATGGGATTAAGAAGTCCACAAAGAACTTCAACTGCGTCCTAAGTAAACTCATCAAACTCTTATTACACAATTGCCTCAAACTGGATAGGTGGCACACAGAGTTTTGTTATTTTATTCTTTTTTATTATTATTATTAAATAAATGGGGTTTTTTGGTCACAGGTACTATCCTGACGCCCAACAGTTGATTGGTGCATATTCTGGACTAAACCCAGGGGCAGATCCTAATTGATTCCTAGTCCGCTCCCTGTTGATGATCAGTTTGCAAATTGAAGCGTTAGCATCATTTTAGCCTCAGTCTTAGTAATTTATTTTCACCTGAAACATACTGTTTCCCACAGTCCACCCAGACCACATCTGCTCTGGCCAGAAATAGCACAAAGCACATTTGCTTTTGTGAAGGCTGAGCTGTTACTTCAGGTTGTCACTTGGCTCTGGTTTCCAACTTCACCCGTGTATTTGCAACAAAATGCCAAGCCATTGAAAGGTCAGTAGAGACTTGATCTAAATATGCAAAAAATATAAGCAAAAAAAAAAAAAAAAAACCCCACACATACACACACAAAGGGGGAGGGAAAGGAAGGAAAACCAGCCTTGAATGAGGAAATAGACAAAGATAAAAGGCGATCACATAAAGTCAGAATATTGCTAAGAAACCATAAAACAAGCATGGGGTGTATTTTG